AGAGTGTTTGATTTCCAATTTCCATTCTCTGTAGAACAAGACAGGTCATTCTTTCATTGACATACATAAAATATATCACATATTCTGTTCTATAAATACAATACCAATTCTCTAGCCACATCAGTTATGAGCATAAAGTATATCATGTTAACCTCAAATCTCTAACAATGGAAGGCTTAAAAAAGTTTGGGTGCCAGAATAATGCTGCTTCCTTTGATGTGAAAACTAAGCATTCATCTCCCTCCCCCTCAGATGATTTCTTCAGCATGTTAGAACAGTGAGGAATGGTTTTAGTCTCATAACCAAGTTAAAGTAAAGACTTTGGCCACATAGTAAATATGCTCTATTTTTTAAAAAAAAATTCCGAATCTTGGGCAACTGTTCTTCATTTTCTAAAAGCAGTTATTGTCTAAAGCTGGAAGAACTTAAGTTTTCTCAGATGAGCATGTGAATGAATGAATGGAGGGAGGTAAACACAAAATAAAATTTAAAAAGATGAGGTCTGATAAGGGAGCAGCTGGATTAGAAAATAAAAAAAGGAACAGTAACTTAAAGTTTATTCCAGCTATAATGCAGGTTATTCTGACTTTAAGGTAGCATGACATGGCATACCTCTGAGTCCGCTCCTCAGATATTCTGTTGTACTTATCTCTGTTTTATAGATCCATGCAATTTCTGGTACTACAGGGTCATCTGGGTTTGGATCACATAGCAGTGAACAAATGGATAAAAGAACTTGAGAAACAGTTAAAGCAGGAGACCACTGTGATCTTAGAATATTGAGACAAATGCTACCATTATTGTTAATACCTGATGAATAAATTCTTGTAAATGCAACCATAGGTGTTTGAAGGGGTAATCTATAGGAAAAGGAATTGTCAAAAAGAATACACTGCCTTGATATGAGCTGTCATTAGGTTCCATAATTGTTACTTGCCAATGAAACATATAATCCCCAACTGGATCTGCAGAACATTCTGATGGTGGATCATGGGCCAAATCATTAAATTCCTTACTAATCGATTTCAGTGCCATAGTCTGTGCTTTTCATCTGGCTCCTCAGATGTATACTCGGTGTATACTCAAAGGTGTATACTCAAAGGTCCGGCCAAAACTCTTGATTGTCCGGGCAGCAGGAAGGATTGCCATTTCATCTCACACTGGCTCAGCCAGACACAAAGAGGCCTGGTCCTAACTCAGGCTGCAGCCTCAGTCTCCTCCCTGTGGGGAAGCTGGTGTCTCCCCATAAGGGTTCATTCTCATGACACAGTCCTAGTAATTGGTTTTTGTTTTTTCATGGAGTCTTTATAGTTTTCTATATATAATATTATGTCACCTGCAAATCGAGACAGTCTTAATTCTTCCTTTCCAATTTGACTGATTTTATTTTTTCTTGCCTGATGCTCTGGGAAGGATTGCCAGCCAGTATTGTGTTAAATACAAGTGGCAAGAATGGATATCCTTGTCTTACTCCTGATCTTAGAGGGAAAGCTTTCAGCTTTTTACCTTTGGAATGTCATCTTATCTATGAGATTGCCATATATGGCTTTTATTAGGTTGAGGTGTTTTCTCTCTATACCTACTTTGTTGGGAGTTTATATCATATATGGATGTTGACTTTTTTCAGTTGTTTTTTCGTACATTTATTGAAATGATCATATGACTTTCATCTTTAATTTTGTTGAGGTGGTATATTACATTGACTGACTTGCAGATGTCGAACCACCTCTGGAATAAACCACACTTAATGATGGTGTGTGATTCTTTTAATACATTATTTTAATTTATTGTTAAATTCAGCTTGCTAATATTCTGTTGAGGATTTTAGCATCTGTGCTTATCAGGGATATTGGCCTGTGATTTTCTTTACATGTATGTTCTTGGTCTGGTTTTGGTTTCAGGTTAATGTGGGCCTCATAACATAAGTTTGGAACTGTTTTCTTTTATTTTTTTGGAAGAGTTTGAGAAGGATTGGTATTAATTTTTCTTTAAATGTTTGGTAGAATTTGCCAGTGAAGCTATCTGGTTCTAGACTTTTATTTGTTGGGAGATTTGATTACTGAATCAGTCTTCTTACTGATTGGTCAGTTCAGATTTTCTATTTCTTCATAATTTAGTCTCGGTGAGTTGTGTGTTTCCAGGAATTTTCCCATTTCTTTTAGGTTGTTCAAATTGCTGGCATGTACTTTTTCATGGTAGTCTCTTATGATCTGTCATATTTTTGTGGTATCAGTTATGTCTCTTCTTTCATTTCTAATTTTATTCATTTGAGCCCTTTCTCTTTTTTCTTCATAAGTCTAACCATAGGTTTTACATTTTGTTCATCCTTTCCAAAAAATGACACTTAGTTTCATTGATCTTTTCTATTGTCTTTTTGGTCTCTATTTATGCTCTGATCTTTATTATTTCCCTCCCTCTACTAATTTGGGTATAGTTATTCTTTTTCTAATTCGTTGAAGTATAAAATTGTTTTTGTTTTTGTTTTTTTTTAATTTGGGATCTTTCTTTTTAGGTTTATCCATATGGACTTCCCCCTAGAACTGCTTTTACTGCATCTTCTAAATTTTCTTACTTTGTGTTTTCATTTGTCTCAAGATATATTTTTTAAAGATTTTATTTATTTTTTCATGAGAGACACAGAGAGAGAAAGGCAGAGACAGGCAGAGGGAGAAGCAGCCTCCTTGCAGGGAACCTGACACGGGACTCGATTCCAGGACCCTGGGATCACGCCCTGAGCCAAAGGCAGACACTCAGTCGCTGAGCCACCCAGGCGACCCTGTCTCAAGATATTTTAAAATTTCTCTTTAATTTTTTCTTTGACATGTGGGCTGATTAATGCTGTATTGTTTGATCTCCACGTATTTGTGAATTTTCCAGTTTTCTTTTTTGAATTGATGTCTAGTTTCAGAACTATGTAAGGAAAAAACCTCAATCTTCTTCCTGTGTTTCTCTTTTACTCGTACACTACTACCATGCTCACAATACTTTTGACACTTCTGGCCACCAACTATGCATTTTTTTTTCCTACCACATCAAGCAATTCTCTGTGATACCACCTGGGTGTCCCTGAATTTAACTCGATTCTGACTAGCTACTGGAGGCAACATCACATCTCACAGATTGAAGGCTCTTGTCTCATGTGCCATTTCAGATGCCAATTATAAGTAGCACATCTTCTGGCTACCCACAACTTCTGTTCAACTTGGGTACAAATGGGAAGATTCTATGACCTCCTCCCCCTTGGATTTGATTATTTGCTAGAATAGCTAATAAAATTAAGGGAAACACTAAATTACACTTATCAATTTATTAAAGGATATGAACAGCCAAATAAAGATACATAACACAAGGTCTAGGAGGTTTTGGAGTATAGCAGATTCTATGTCAGTGAATTTGCGGTGTACCACCTGCAAATACATAAATATGTTCTCTAATCTGAAAGTTCTCTGAACACTGTATTTTGGGAATATTTATGAAGGCTTCCTTGCATGGGCATGATCAATATTTATTTCAATTCTAGCCTTTCCCCTCTCTAAAGAAGTGGAGGGTGAAGTTGAAAATTGTTAGCTTCAATTATGCTGTGGTTTTTCCAGCTACCCCTCTCCCCCAGTCATCCAGGAGAATTACCTCATTAGAATAAAAGATGCTTTTACTGCTCTTATCACTTAGGATTTTATAAGGGTTTTAGGAGCTCCATGTCGGGGATTAGGGTCACAGACAAAAGATGCTACTAGTGTACTTATCACTAAGGAATTCATAAGATTTTAGAAGCTCTTTGTTAGGAACTGGGAGCCAAGATCAATATATGTATTTCTTGTTATTTCACAATGCAACACTTCTTACACTTCTGGCCACCAAATCAGGGAAGTTGCTTGACATGATTTCAATTTTCTTAAATTTATTTAGATATTTTTGTGGCCTAACATATGATGTATTTGAAGAATATCTCAGAGCCAGGTGGTCAAATCTTATGCCTCCTGTGCAGCTGCCACAAGCCAGCATGCCAGACATGTGTACATTCTCATTCCAGTGAGACAGCGGTGATCTTGAAAATGGCACCCACTGGACGCTAGGGAGGATTAAAGTCTGTTGCTAGATGGTGCTAAATTTGAAACGAAATTCTTGGGCAGCAGCTTTTAAAGTATGCAAATGAGCCTTTTTCAGGAAAAAGGTAGATGGGCATTTCTGTCTGCTGCCTCTGTTGAACCATGAGGGGGCTAGCCAGTTAATAAGACCTTGCATGCATTATCAAAGACTGAACATGAGAGTGAAAGCAACAAGATGAACGTTTTTATATATTCTTATATATTTTTTAAATATTTAATTAATTATTTATTTATGATAGACGAAAGAGAGAGAGAGAGAGAGAGAGAGAGAGGCAGAGACACAGGAGGAGGGAAAAGCAGACTCCATTCCGGGAGCCCGACGTGGGACTTGAACCCGGGACTCCAGGATCATGCCCTGGACCAAAGGCAGGCGTCAAACCACTGCGCCACCCAAGGATCCCCCAGATGAATGTTTTTAAAGGTCAAGAAGAGAAAAGAGAATTTGGTCATGAAAACAAAGACTTTCATATAGTTCATTTTATATAGGATGCAGGTAGTGGTTGTCATATTTTAATTTCACAAACATTTCACTGAAAAATGAGTAAACTGGAAGAAGGCCATCAACTTGCCATGTCCTAGGGTAAGGAGTGATGCTCAGGCTGGGTACACAATAAAAGCCCAGGAGAATTAGTGGTCACCCAAAACAAAATGGATGGGTAAGTCATTTTATACAACTTTAACTACCTGTAGTTTCTCTAGCAAAGGACAAAATGACAAATTTTGCACCAAAATGAAGTTAAAATATTCGGAGTATTTGCACAGTAACAGTGATACTGTGAATAGCCTACTTAATGTTCTTATATCCATGCCCAATGTTGGAAACACAGGTAAGCTCAGTAATTTTTGGAGAGGGATGACTTTTCATTTAGAATAATAAGTTTCGGTAAATTCCTGTAGAGTTTTATTTTAATTTAATTTAATTTTGCCAGTTTTTCTGTTGGCATGACATATTTCTAACTCTTAAACAGGCAATAAATCCCTTGAGAGCAGAGTTGATCTCAGAAGCTAAGTTGTGAGGAGTCGTTTCTTCACAGGGGAAGGGACCTTGACATCATAACTCCTTGCTGGCATAAACTGGAGGAGTCCCACCTAGGAGGCAGACCAGCTGGAGGCCTCAGATACGACTACTCCTTTTTGATCTTCTTCCCTGTTTTTGCGACCTTCCGACAACAAAACAGACAACATTGTGTGGTGACAAACATAGCAGTTGCCACACAGGCCAGCAGGAACCCAGTCACATCCAAGGAGTGGTACTGGAACCAGGTGAGGTCATGGGAGGCCGGCCGCAGGTGCTTGGCTCCTTTGTGGCGCATGACATACTCGATCCAGAAGACTGCTCGGTCCAGGGGCTTTATAGGCTGATCGTGGTGAATTCTTGATAATTTCGTAGCATTCTCTTTGTACCTAAGGGAGAAACGTAAAGATGCCGGCATTGAAAGGAAGTTAATTTGCCAAATCAAAGAATTCCCATGAAAGGTTTTTGAAAAGTGCCATACAAATGATTCAAAACAAGTGCCGTAGAATTACAGAAGTCGTGTGTTTTTTATTTGGGTCCTCAGAGGAGATTTGGCTTTTAAATTGGAATTTTCTGAGTGACGAACGTTTTGAAAAGTAAAAATGGAAGTTAGGATAATTGATCTTTTCTAACAGAGAAAAGGATACGAGCCATTGTAACAGCTATAAAAGAGATGGTGGGAATGCACTTCTAGAATGATCCTCATGAAGCAGGAAAGGGAATTGCGTCATGGTGAGTAAAATGCTGCCTCACCGGTCCTCGTCCTTCCATTCTTCTATCCTCTACTCTTTATTTTCCATCATGTAGCCAGTCTGGTTTTTGAAAACCGACATCAGATTATGACACTTCCCTACTAAAAATTTCCAACTGGCTTCTCACTACCTACAGTAAAATTCAAATATGGATTTTGGACTCTAGGATCTTGCAAATACAGACACCGGGCAACTTCGTTTCCTGTCACTTTGTCCCAGGTACACTCTGCTGTAGGCACAGAGGCTTGCTAGCAGTTCACTGAAGTTGCCAGACGTATCCCACCTCAGCCAGCACCTTTGCACATTCTGGCTCCTCGGTCTCTGCTGGACACTTCCCTGCCACACCCCAAGGCTGCTTCTACCTCTGGATGGATGACCCAGCTTTGTGTCCCGTCTCAGAGAGACTTTTCTGGGCCACACTATCCTGGCACCTTGAGACATTTGTTCTGTTTGTGTCTATGTGTATGTGTTTTGCTATTTGCAACCTAGGACTTGAAAACATGTTTTATTTTCCAAAATAACCTTTAGGCGTATTACATAAGAAACATGCACATAGTCTCACGGAATACCCATACATTCAAAATTAGCTGGAATATTATTGTGAAGTGGATGTAATAATGTACCTACTACTAAGATACTGGTATAGGGTGTCACAAGCTACCCAGAAGCACCCCATCTGCCCTGATCCTTTTAGTCATCATAGATTAGTTTTTATTATTTATATATTAGAATATGAAGTGAGCACTCATTTCCTTTGGTCTTTTGTGTAAGAGTTGTTGGGTAATTCTAGCACTGTATGGTATTCCATTGTTTGGCAATAGCACAGGTTATTTCATCATTTAACGATCAATAGCCATTTGTGTTAATAATCTTTTGGCCATTACTACTAATGCTGCCATAAAAGCCTTGTATCTTTTGATTTACATGTTTGTACATGTGTTTGTGTATGTGTAGAAGTGGAATTGCTGAGAAGAGGTGTATGTATGAGTATGATTTCTTTATCGGCTGAGTTATGTAGAGGGATATTGCTGAATTTCCAAAATGTAGAGAGGTTTTAGTTGTCTTTCTTTTTGACGATTCTAAGTGAATCCCAGTAGAGCTGAACAGTGTGCTCTTGATGATTTATATTTTTCAAAATTCCTTTTGGTTTATGGCCCATGTACAGTTAATTCCAGTATCTATTCCATTCTTCAAAAATGGGTATTCTCTGTTGTTTTATGTATATGTCAGATGGGTTGCATTTTTAAATTGTGTCCTTCAAAACACTTAAGTATTTCTCCCTTCCATTGTCTTGTTATCTTTTTTCCCTTGTTTTGATCTTATTTTTCTATGTTACTGAGAAAGATGTTTAAAAATTCAATATTATGACTGTAAATTTGAATGTTTGTTCTTTGGCCCACTTCTACTGCATTTTGATGTTTTTTGTAGTAGGCGTCACTAATTGGTAATTTGTTCTGTTTTGAAAGATCAATCTATTCATCATTATGAAATACTTCTCTTTATTTTTGTTGGTGATTCTGGACTAGTGTGTCTGATATTAGCATGGGTCCAACATCTTTCTGCGGTTACTGCTAGAATAGATCATTTCCTACCTTCTTCGTACTTACAATCTTTTGCGCATTTCTATTTGAACATGTCTTATAACTGGCATATAGTTTTAAAAAGGTGTTCTGACATTCTCTGTCTTTAAATTATTTAGTCTGTTTAGATTTAATGTCTTGGCATATTTATATTTTCATCTACTGTCTTAGTCTGTTTTCTTTTCTATTTGGCCAACCTGCCTTATATTTCTTTACCTTTCTCTCTTGTTTTAAGGTATTTTTATTATGCAATTACTCTACCATTTTCTCCCCATAATACATTTTTTTCAGTATTTCTGATATGTGAATGACAATAAGTACATGAAAAGATGTTTAATAAGTTTGGCTGTAAGAGAAATGGAAATGAAGACCACAAGGAGAGACCCACTAGGATGGCTGTAATAAAAAAGATGATAGCAAGTGTTGAAAATGATGTGGAGAACTTGAATCTCCCATACTTAGCTGGCGGAAATGTAAAATAGTGCAACTTATTTGGACATCAATTTGGCAGCTCCTCATGGAGATAATCTGTGACCTAGATGTCTACCCAAAATTCTACTCCTAGATGTCTACCCAAAAGAAGTGAAAAATTTTGTTCACACCATAAATGTGTAGCAATATTTATAATACCTAAATGTGGAAATAACCCAAATGTTCACGAACTGATACATGGATAGACTGTTGCATATCCATACCATAGGATATTTATCATGCAGCAATACAAAACGACCACACGAATGAAACTCAAAAACATGCCAAATGAAAGAAGCCACATGCAAAAGCCCATAAGTCGTATGATTCCACTTGTATGAAACACCCAGAACACAGCAATTTGTAGAGACACAAGTAGATTAATGTTTACTTGAGGCAAGAGAAATGGGCAAAGACTCCTAAGTCAGTCGTATGTGATTTCTTCTGGGCTAATGAAAATGTCCCAAACTTAGATTATGGTGATGGTTTCATAATTCCATAATACACTACACATATTTGAATTTTATACTTTTAGTTTTATGGTACACAAATTACATATTATAAAATATATTAACAATAAGAACCAAAATCAATGTTTGAGCAAAAAGAGATTTATAGCTTTGGAAATTTTGGTACTGAATTGAAAGTCACTGTACATGACTTCAAGTTCTTCATTCTTTCATTCTATGGTTTCTATCATAGGAACTTTGAAATGTTCTTACAGTTACTATATAATCGTTTGCATTTGTGTATGTAGAAAATTGTTGTAATAATTGGTTGCCCATTAAGTCAAAGGGATTTAAATGCAACTGTGAAATAAATGTCTGGTTGAAAATAAAAGTAGATTTCAGATCAGTTCTATCACTTGGCTTCTTTCCAAATTAGCCTCTTAAGAATGGGAGGAAACTCACAGCCACCATTGACTGTTTATCGATAATCTATTGATAATCTATCGATAAATTCTGTCTATTGAAAAAAATGTAATACTCACGAAGGGTCATTAATGACTGTCCTCAATGCATTGAGCAAGTCTGCACTAGACATTGTGCTGAAGTCCAGTCTGATAGCTGCTCCCTTAGCTTTCATGTGAACAATGTTATCAGCTTGATCGGCAAACAAGGGAATGCCCACCATGGGGATCCCGTGGTAGATCGCCTCATAGATGCCGTTGGTTCCACCATGGGTTATAAAGGCTTTGGCTTTCGGATGACCTAGGATTGGATGAATCTCAGCACATTATTAACTGTAAGTCTCAGAAATGAAATGAGAATTGGGCAACATAAGACAAATGTTATTATATAAACATGAAACAGCATTAAAATGTCTTTGGGCTCTCAGCGCAAAAAGCACATAAATGTGCTGGAGAGGTAAATGAAGATTGGTGTGGTACTTGTCACTTGAAAAATGAATACAAGATTGCTGGGCAGACAGATTGAACGATAACATTCTGGTTATCACCAAAAAAAGGGGAAAGGGTGCAAAAAAAAAGAAAGGGAGGTGGCATGTTAGAACATATTCTCTTAAAGACACAGTAGTCATTGAGTTTCACATGTAGGGTGTCAAGGCAGCAGGAAGTGTGATGGTGGTGGCTCAAATAGGGGAAGGAAAGATAGCACTTTATCGTGAAATGTGTTGTGACTTCATGGAAAAGATTATGGTATTTTTCTAGAGAAAATGTAGAGTCCCTGGTAATAAAAGAGAGGCTATTGTTTTTCATTGGCACTGAATACCCATGCAGAAGGAGAAAGGATAGGAACAAGGTGGGAAGGTTCAGAGACAGAGCGATGTTCTAGGTAGGTAGTAACAAATTATGTGGGAGAAGTAATTACAGCTGAAATACAGATACTTTGATTCTGGCCATAAGGAATGGGACTGTGTATAACAACATGCCAACTGTTGTTGATTTTCTTTTTCCCTCTAGGTCTGCAAAATAAATATAAGAAAGTTAAGTTTTAGTTTTGAGTTTTTGAGTAGTAAATGCTCAGTCAGATTGCTTTTTGGTGAACTGTTACCATTTTGTTAGGATTACTTTCAATTCAGTATTTTCCAGATTCTTACCAAGAAGGTCATTCTGGGGAAGCCACTTATACAGCCGAGTATTTGGCCCTAAGGTGTCTGGTTTCTTGCCATCAAATCTCCATAGAACCTGTTAAAGAAAATACCTTATTTCATGACTTGAACTTTGAAGTTATAGCTTGTGAACATTTTAAAAATTAAGAGATAATCTAGTTAGACTCCTTTCTTTGACTGATAAATAACAAGGACAAAAGATATTAAAAATGAGACTACTATAACCCTAGTATAGTAAGAATACCCCCATTTTGTTACTTATTTTTATATTCAAGCAAGTATGAATGTAATCATAATATTTCACACATGAGGATTAGACAGATGAGATTATCAAGGACAAATTCAAGCATTTAAGAAATTTTTAGGCAGTTATTATAATTCTAGTGCAAACGAGTAGGAAATTACTAAGATCCACACCTTTGTCTGTTATCATTGCTTTCATCTTCCAATGTAATACCAACCTATTTACAACTTTTTAAGTGACACAGAAGGACGTTCCCTTATATCCACTTGTTCATAGCGACTTGTTCCTTAAGTTCTTTTATTTGAGTTTTCCATGTTTTGACACACAAAAAAGCTAAATGTGCAATCTGCTGCTTGTGAGAAACAAGTAATTCTGCTTATTAGTAATTCATTAATATCAATAATTTCTCCTAAGTACGTTTAACTTTCACTTTACTAATGATTAGGCACTACTTCCAAGAAAAAGGTAATTTTTTTAGATGAATGCAGATTATTATTAGTATTTCTTGGTTTGGCAGATCTTTACATGTGGGAAGAAAAGCCTGTTGGCATTTCAGAAATAACAGTGTACGTGTCAAAAAAACTCCAAAAGTGTAGTGGTGCTAAGTTTTATTGAACTGGTTGTTGACATGTCAATGATGCACTACAAAGCATTGACAGCATTGATTGATATGAAATCTATGCCCAAGCAATTTCCATTGCCATATTAAAATAGATTCTGATTTTAGAATTTCCCAGCAATCCTCATAACTGGAATATAGTTTGCATTGGTTAGCATATATTTGCTATATGAATGTTAAAATAACTTGCGATAGTAAGCAAAAATTAGCATAAGGAGAAACTATTACAGTGACCGGAAAGTAGCTCACAAATACCCAAATACTCCAGGTGCATTCTATATATTGGAAAATAATTTACTATTGTAGTTTATGCAGAAAGAGGCATGTGAAACTTTCCCATGCTAGGTTGTTTCTGGTTGACTCCTTAATATGTATTTTTTTTCCTTCCTTCATCGGGAGCAGTTATTATTCCAATAAGTTAGAGTCCTTTGGAACCAGATATTACTAAGCACTGGGTCACCTTGAGGAGTGGACCCATCTTCCCCCTTTTCATTGATTTTACTCTTTCACTCGTAATAGGGCCCATTCCATCAGTCATGTCAATTTTTCCCTTTTTCCAAGTCATCTTGGCTGGAGGAAAGCCTAGACATAGTTTGGTGAGCCCTGGGCATTGTTTTTCTACACAGCACACTGAGGAGGCTTATCTCAAAATTTAGGGGAAGGAAGAGAAACCTGGATTATCTGGTAAGTGTAAACTGCAGGGTGCTTTTCAGACTTTTATCAGTTCCTCTTTAACATAACTGTTGAAATTTAACTCCTTTCTGAGAACAGCTATGAGGTAGTCAGTGCCCTTGGAAGTCTTGAAAGGAATGCAGATCTTGTAAGGAAAAGGAAAGAATGACAGACAGAATTTGGTGATTGCTATTCCTGCCCACAATACGTTAGAATACCAAGGTTTCTCTGCACGTCCTATAAATATATTTTTCCAATGTCAATGTTAATGCCAAAGTTATTGTCAAAACAACTTCTGTAGTACTTAGCATCTGCCATTTATATTTTCCCCATGTTTGAGATAAACTGGAGCTATCATAATGATGTTCATGTCATGAAGGAAAGGGTAATCCGGCCCTTTACAGAGTTTAACAGCCTCATTAGGTAGTTGTATACAATTAAGGTACTTTATCTAACCTTTTGTGGAATCTGGGCAAGGGCTGATGCAATCACATTGGCTCTTTCCTCTGGCATGTTATTGACCATTGACCCTAGAGAAAACACCACAATACCGTTTTCTCCAGAGCTCTGGACAAACTCTTCCATTTCCTGTGAAGAAAAAATTTGCTCCATCACAAAAGAGAAACAGCATAGCAAACACTATTGAAAGAATTTCTATGAGGTTGCGTGGGAGGCTCAGTCGTTTCGGCATCCGACTCTTGATTTGGGCTCAGGTTATGATTTCGGGGTTGTGAGATTGAGCCCTGTGTCTAGCTCTGTGCTCAGTGGGGACTTTCCTGGGTGTTCTCTCTCTCCTTCTGCTGCCCACCCCATGTGCAGTCTCTCTCTCTCTCTCTCTCTCATATAAATAAATAAATAAATAAATAAATAAATAAATAAATAAATAAATAAATAAATCTTTTAAAAAAATTTTTATGGAGTCAGTTTGCCAACATATACCATAACACCCAGTGCTTTTCCCGCCAATGGCCCCCTCAGTGCCCATACCCAGTCACCCCAACACCCCACCCACATCCCTTTCTGCTACCCCTTGTTCTTTCCTAGAGTTAGGTGTCTTTCATGTTTTGTCACCCTCACTGATATTTCCACTCATTTTCTCTCCTTTCCCTTTATTCCCTTTCACTAATTTTTATATTCCTCAAATGAATGAGACCATATAATGTTTGTCCTTCTCTGATTGACGTATTTCACTCAGCATAATACCCTCCAGTTGCATCCACGTTGAAGCAAATGGTGGGTATTTGTCGTTTCTAATGGCTGAGTAATATTCCATTGTATACATAGACCATATCTTCTTTATCTATTCATCTTTCGGTGGACACCGAGGCTCTTTCCACAGTTTGGCTATTGTGGACATTGCTGCTAGAAACATCGGGGTGCAGGTGTCCTGCCGTTTCACTGCATGTGTATCTTTGGGGTAAATCCCTAGCAGTGCAATTGCTGCGTCATAGGGTAGATTTATTTTTAACTCTGAGGAACCTCCACATAGATTTCCAGAGTGGCTGCACCAGTTCACATTCCCACCAACAGTGTAAGAAGGTTCCCTTTTCTCCGCATCCTCTCCAACATTTGCTGTTTCCTGCTTGTTAATTTTCCCCATTCTCACTGGTGTGAATTGGGATCTCATTGTGGTTTTGATTTGTATTTCCCTGATGGCAAGTGATGCGGAATATTTTTCTCATGTGCATGTTGGCCATGTCTCTGTCTTTCTCTGTGAAATTTCTGTTTATGTCTCTTGCCCATTTCATAATTGGATTGTTTGTTTCTTTACTGTTGAGTTTAATAAGTTCTTTATAGATCTTGGAAACTAGCCCTTTATCTGATACGTCATTTGCAAATATCTTCTCCCATTCTGTAGGTTGTCTTTGAGTTTTGTTGACTGTGTCTGTTACTGTGCAGAAGCTTTTTATCTTGATGAAGTCCCAATAGTTCATATTTTTGCTTTTGCTTCTCTTGGCTTCATGGATGTATCTTGCAAGAAGTTGCTGTGACCAAGTTCAAAAGGGTTGTTGCCTGTGTTCTCCTCTAGGATTTTGATGGAATATTGTCTCACATTTAAATCTTTCATCCATTTTGAGTTTATCTTTGTGTATGGTGCAAGAGAGTTGTCTACTTTCATTCTTCCGCATGTGGATGTCCAATTTTCCCAGCACCATTTATTGAAGAGACTGTCTTTTCTCCAGTGGATAGTCTTTCTTGCTTTGTCGAATATTAATTGACAATAGAGTTGAGGGTCCACTTCTGGGTTCTCTATTCTGTTCCATTGATCTATGTGTCTGTTTTTGTGCCAGTACCACACTGTCTTTATGACCACAACTTTGTAGTACAACCTGAAATCTGGCATTGTGATGCGCCCAGATATGGTTTTCTTTTTTAATATTCCCATGGCTATTCGGGGTCTTTTCTGATTCCACACAAATCTTAAAATAATTTGTTCTTACTCTCTGAAGAAAGTCCATGGTTTTTGATAGGGATTGCATTAAACGTGTAAATTGCCCTGGGTAGCATTGACATTTTCACAATATTAATTCTGCCAATCCATGAGCATGGAATATTTTTCCATCTCTTTGTGTCTTCCTCAATGTCTTTCAGAAGTGTTCTATAGTTTTTAGGTATCAATCCTTTACCTCTTTGGTTAGGTTTGTTCCTAAATATCTTATGTTTTTAGGTGCAATTGTAAATGAGATTGACTCCTTAATTTCTCTTTCTCCAGTCTCCTTGTTAGTGTATAGAAATGCCACTGGTTTCTGGGCATTGATTTTGTATCCTGCCACACTGCCGAATTGCTGCATGGGTTCTAGCAATCTTGGGGTGGAGTCATTTGGGTTTTCTGCATACAGTATCATGTCATCTGTGAAGAGGGAGAGTTTGACTTCTTCTTTGCCAATGTGAATGCCTTTTATTTCTTTTTGTTGTCTGATTGCTGAAGGCTAGAACTTCTAGTACTATGTGGAATAGCAGTGGTGAGAGGGGACATCCCTGTCTTGTTCCTGATCTTAGGGGAAAGGCTCCCAGTGCTTCCCCAATGAGAATGATATTTGCTGTGGGCTTTTCGTAGATGGCTTTTAAGATGTTGAGGAATGTTCCCTCTATCCTTACACTCTGAAGAGTTTTAATCAGGAATGGATGCTGTATTTTGTCAAATGCTTTCTCTGCATCTTTTGAGAGGATCATATGGTTCTTGTTTTTTCCCTGGTTGAAATGATCTATCACATTGATTGCTTTATGAGTGTTGATCCAGCCTTGCATCCCAGGGATAAATCCCACTTGGTCATGATGAATAATATTCCTAATGTACTGTTGGATCCTATTAGCTTGTTGAGAGTTTTTGCATCCATGTTCATCAGGAATATTGGTCTATAATTCTCCTTTTTGGTGGGGTCTTTGTCTGGTTTTGGAATTAAGGTGATGACGGCCTCATAGAATGAGTTTGGAAGTACTCCATCTCTTTCTATCTTCCCGAACAGCTTTAGTAGAATAGGTATGGTTTCTTCAAACGTTTGATAGAATTCCCCTGGGAAGCCATCTGGCCTTGGACTTTTATGTCTTGGGAGGCTTTTGATGACTGCTTCAATTTCCTCCCTGGTTATTGGCCTGTTTAGGTTTTCTATTTCTTCCTGTTCCAGTTTTGGTAGTTTGTGGTTTTCCAGAAATGCGTCTGTTTCTTCTAGATTGCCTAATTTATTGGCATAGAGCTGTTCATAATAAGTTTTTAAAATCATTTGTATTTCCTTGGTATTGGTGGTGTCTCTCCTTTCTCATTCATGATTTTATTAATTTGAGTCTTCTCTCTCTTCTTTTTAATAAGGCTGGCTAATGGTTTATCTATCTCATTAATTCTTTCAAAGAACCAACTCCTGATTTTGTTAGTTCTGGTCTCGATTTCGTTGAGTTCTGCTCGAATCTTTATTAACTCTCTTCTTCTGCTGGGTGTAGGATCTATCTGCTGTTTTTTCTCTAGCTCCTTTATGTGTAAGGTTAGCTTTTGTATTTGAGTTCTTTCCAGTTTTTGGATGGATGCTTGTATTGTGAAGTATTTCCCCCTCAGGACTGCTTTTGCTGCATCCCAAAGATTTTGAACGGTTGTATCTTCATTCTCATTAGTTTCCATGAATCTTTTTAATTTCTCTCTAATTTCCTGGTTGACCTTTTCATCTTTTAGCAGGATGGTCCTTAACCTCCACGTGTTTGAAATCCTTCCAAACTTCTTGTGATTCAGTTCAAGTTTCAAAGCATTGTGGTCTGAAAATATGCAGGGGACAATCCCAATCTTTTGGTATCAGTTAAGACCTGATTTGTGACCCAGTATGTGGTCTATTCTGGAGAAAGTTCCATGTGCACCTGAGAAGAATGTGTATTCAGTTGCGTTTTGATGTAAGGTTCTGTAAATATCTGTGAAATCCATCTGGTCCAGTGTATCATTTAAAGCTCTTGTTTCTTTGGGGATGTTTGCTTAGAAGATCTCTCATTTGTAGAAAGCGCTGTGTTCACGTCTCCAGGTATAAGTGTATTATTATCTAAGTATGTCTTAACTTTGGTAATAACCAAAGTTATTGATTGATATCAACCAAATTGATTGATATACTTGGCAGCTCCCACATTCACGGCATAAATATTCATGATTGTTAGGTCCTCTCCTTGGATAGATCCTTTAAGTATGATATAGTGTCCCTCTTCATCTCTTACTACAGTCTTTGGGATAAACTTTAATTTATCTGATATGAGGATGGCTACCCCTCCTTTCTTTTGAGAACCATTTGAATAGTAAATGATTCTCCAACCTTTTATTTTCAGACTGTAGGTGTCCTTATGTCTAAAATAAGTCTCTTTTAGACAGCAAATAGATGGGTCTTGCTTTTTTATTCAGTCTGAAACCCTGTGCCTTTTGATGGGATCATTAAGCCCATTCATGTTCAGAGTTACTATTGAAAGATATGAACCTAGTGTCATCATGATACCTATTCAGTCCCTGTTTTTGTGGATTGTTTCCTGGGGCTTCCTTTTTCTTTTACAGAGTCCCCCTTAATATTTCTTGCAGAGCTGGTTTGGTGGTCCCATATTCTTTCAGTTTCTGCCTATCTTGGAAGCTCTTTATCTCTCCTTCTATTCTGAATGAGAGCCTTGCTGGATAAAGTATTCTTGGCTGTATGTTCTTCTCATTTAGGACCCTGAATATATCCTGCCAGCCCTTTCTGGCCTGCCAGGTCTCTGTGGAGAGGTCTGCTGTTAATCTAATATTTTTCCCCATAATCATTAGGGATCTCTTGTCTCTTGCTTCTTTAAGGATCTTGTCTTTATGTTTGGAATGGCAAGTTTCATTATTAAATGTTGGGGTGTTGAGAGGTTTTTATTGATTTTAGGGGGGATCTCTCAATCTCCTGGATCTGACTGCCTGTTTCCCTTCCCAAGTTAGGGAAGTTTTCAGCTATGATTTGTTGAAATACACTTTCCGGCCCTCTGGCCCTTTAGGTGCCCTCTAGAATCCCAATTAAATGAAGATTTTTCCTTCTGAGGCTGTCATTTATTTCCCTTAGCCTATCCTCATGTTATTTTAATTGTTTTTCTCTTTTTCCCTCAGCTTCCTTCCTTGCCATCAAGTTGTCCTCTGTGTCACTCATTCTTTCTTCTACCTCATTAACCGTCATCATTAGGACCTCCAGTTTGGATTGCATCTCATTTAATTGATTTTTAATGTCAGCCTGATTAGATCTAAATTCTGCAGTCATGAAGTCTCTTGAATCCTTTTGATTTTTTCCAGAGCCACTAGTAGCTTTATAATTGTGCTTCTGAATTGGGTGTCTGACATAGAATTATAATCCAAATTCTGAAACTCTGTGGTATTGTTTCTGTTTCTTTCATTTGTGGTGAGTTCTTCCTTCTAGTCATTTTGCTCAGTGCAGAGTGGCTAAAAACAAGTTGTACTGGATAAAGGAGAAAAAGAGAAAAATAAGGGGGGGGCGACAAGCAAGAAACAAAAAGAAGGAGTGGTATCCTCTGATTCTATATACTGTAAGTTGCAGATTCCCCTGGAACTTTCCAGTGCTGCTTGGTCGAGAACATGGTCTTCCCCTGTCCTTCCAGCTGGTCTTCTTGGGGACGGGCCTGCTGTGCTGATTCTCAGGTGTGTGCACCTGCAGGAGCTGCCCCACCCCCTGCCAGGTGCACGGCTCAGTGGGAGCTGTTTATCCTGTGAGGCCCCTGCTCCCTGTCATCCCTGCTCTGTCCCAGGTACAAGTTGACACCAGGAGGAACAACAACAGTGGCAGCGTCCAGCTCTCCAGCTCTGGAGTAACTATCGCAGTAACTACCGCAGCTCCTAGTACTCAGGGGCCTGGATGCTCGGGGGGGTAGGGGACGCCGATCTGTACAGCTCGGGGCCACCCGGGGGCAGGAACGTCCTGGCTGCCCTGTGCCCTCCCGGCCTCTGCCTGTCCCTGGGGGGAGCGCAGGATCCTGGGCTGTGCCCCCTGGACGTCCTGGGATCCAGGGCCTGCAGCACAGGAATCAAGCTTCTGCAGCCTGTGCAGCCCCCTCTCCATGGAGCCACCACCTGAGCCGCTTCTGGGGCCCCACAGAGCGCACTCCAGCACTTTAGGGAGCTCGACTGCGGGGTGTTGCGAGCTCTCCCCGGGGCGCAGGTGCTGTTAGTGCCCCTGGGAGCCTGCCCGAGCTCCCTGCCAGCACAGTTCTGTCGGGGAAGGTTGGTGAAGTTCCTGCTTCTCTGGGCCCAGGCTCTCCTGTCCTGGGGGCTCTCGCCGGGGCCTCAGCCCGGCTCCTCGCGGAGCACCTCCCCCTTGGATGCTTTCAATTTCTTTATTTTTTTTTTCTGTCTTCCTACCTGATAGAAGCACAGACTCTTCTCAATGTAGCATTCCAGCTGTTCTCTCTTTAAATCTCAGGCCGAATTTGTAGGTTTTCAGGATGATTTGAAAGTTACCTAGGTAAGTCGGTGGGGACAGGTAACCTGGGGACCCTACTCTTCCACCATCTTGCCCTGCCTCCAATAAATAAATCTTTAAAAATTTTTGTACAAACAGCTAAAGATAGATAAAAGATATTATCAAGAATTATTAGAGTAATGCCTGTATTTATCCTTATTGTGATAAGCTACACATAAAAATTATTTTAAGTATATCTGACTATGCAGTCCAATAGTTTGTATATTTTATACTGTAGGTCAACTAATCACCAGAACTTTTTCATCTTGTTAAACTTGATCTCAATACCCATTATATAACAATTACCCATTCCCTCCTTGAACATCTGTATTATTTTTTATATTTATTTTTTTTAAGATTTTATTTTTTTATTCATGGCAGACACAGAGAGAGAGACAGGCAGAGACATAGGCAGGGTGAGAAGCAGGCTCCATGCAGGGAGCCCAATGGGACTCAATCCCGGGACTCCAGGATCACTGGGCCAAAGGTAGGCGCTAAACCGCTGAGCCACCAAGCAATCCCCCCTCCTTGACCATCATTAGCAAACATCATTATACTTTGTATTTCTGTGAATTTGAGTGATCTGGATACCTTATATCAGGGGAATCATACAGTACTTGTCTTTTTATGATTGCCCACTTCACTTTGCATAATATCCCGAAGATTTGCCACGTCAGAGTATGTGTTAGAATTTTCTTCTACTTTAGGCCGAATATTCCGTTGTGTGTAAATACATTTTGTTTATGGATTTATCTGTTGGTGGACCCTTGTGTTAGACTGAATATAACTTTTGCTAGTTTTACGTCAGGATTTAGACCTTGAGAGAGTTACATATACACCTAAATATTTTGCAATCAAAATCGATATTAGGTTAACCATTGGATAAGATCTTAGTTTCAGAGTAATTAGACCCTTTGCAGAGTTTAACAGACTCATTAGCTAGTTATATACGATTAAGGTTATTTATCTAGCCTTTTGTGGAATCCGGGCAAGGGCTAATGTAATCACAGTGGCTCATTCCTCTAGTAGACATCCAGCATGATGAAGAGACCATCAAGGAATTCAGTAAGGGATGCTTGTTTATCAATTATGTCTTGAAGGATCAATATCAACTTAAAATTTATTACATCATTGCTTTTTTCATAAAGATTATTACCTTATATGCTGAGTTTACTATTGCAATTTTATACTATAGATTTTTTTCAGATATAAGTGGTAAAATTATTTGGTCTTTATTAAATATACAGAATTTATGGTCCTCATTATATACACAGTGTAGCTTTATCTGTGCTCAGGTTTACTGAGATTTTGTCTGGCCTTAGTGTGTGGCGGAAAACATATGTTCTCATAGATTAATTAAACCTGTTAATGCTCTAAGTCATCAAACTTTCGGATCTCAAATGAGAATTGTGTAAAAGTTGGAATGACAGCAAGGAAACATTAGATTTGCCTGCAGATATTGTTGGGGCACATGACTATTGTTGAGAATGAGATTTTTAAGCTACAATACTGATGAAATGGCCCAGAGGAAACAAAACATAAGAAACAGTTACCTTAGGCAGGGGTTTGGCAGGTTTGCAGTGGAGGCCTCCAACAAAGTCAAAATGTGGTAGGAATGGGCGAGGAAATTCCAAATCCCAGTAGGATCGAATGAGCCATATATCAGCTTTCCTCATTAACTCGTATAGTGTAGTGGGTCTTCCTGAAGGGGAAAAAACAAACAGATCACATCAATAAGAGAAAGGATAAAATGCATATGATCATTTCTACATATGCAGAAAAGGCGTTTGACAAAGTATAACAGCCATTGATGATAAAAACCCTCAGCAATGTTGGTTTCGAGGGAACATACCTCAAAAATAAAGGCTTAAATGGAAAACCCACAGTGAATGTCATACTCAATAGGCAACACCTGAGAGCTTCTCCGTCAAGGTCAGGCACAGGACAAGGATGTCCACCCTTACCACTTTTATTCAACATAGTACTAGAAGTCCTGGCTACAGCAATGATACAATGAAAAGAAATAAAACCATCCAAATTGGTCAGGAAGAAATAAAACTGTCACTATTTGCAGATGACATGATACTGTATATAGAAAACCCTGAAGACTTAAGCAGAAAAGTCCTAGAACTGATAAACTAATTCAGTAAAGTCACAGGATACAAATCAGTGTACAGAAATCTGTTATATTTCTATGTATTAATAATGCAGTGGAAGAGAGACATTAAGAAAACAATCCTGTTTGCCATTGCACCAAAAATAATAAAGTATCTAGAATAACTTAACCAAAGAGGTGAAAGACCTGTACTCTGAAAAAATATAAATAAATACTGATATATATATATATATATATATATATATAAAATATATAAAATATATAAAATACTGATGAAAGAAGTTGAGGATTAAAAGGCATTCCATGTACAAAACTTGGAAGAATAGTATTGAACTGTCTATATTGCCCAAGGCAATCTTTAGATTTAATGTGATCCCTATCAAAATACCAACAGCATTTTTCACAGAACTGGAACAAACAATCCTAAGACTTGTTGGAACTACAAAAGTTTCCAAATAACCAAAGCACCTTGAAAAAGAAAAAAAAAAAAAACTGGACGTATCACAATTCAAGACTTCAAGTTATACTAAAGCTATAGTGATCAAAACAGTATGGTCGTGACACAAAAATAGACACATAGATCAATGGAAGAGCATAGAAAATGCAGAAATCAACCCACAATCATATGGGCAATTAATCTTTGACAAAGCAGGAAAGAATATCCAATGGGAAAATGACAGTTTCTTGTTGTCAGGAAAATTGGACAGCAACATGCAAAAGAATGAAACTGGACCACATATTTTTTTCTTTTTTTTTTATATTCTGCATTTTATTTTATTTTTTTGATATCACAGAGAGAGAGACAGAGAGAGAGGCAGAGACACAGGAAGAGGGAGAAGCAGTCTCCACGCAGGGAGTCCTGAGTTGGGAGGGTCTCCAGAGTCATGCCCTGGGCTGAAGGCAGCGCTAAACCGCTAAGCCACCCGGGCTGCCTTGACCACTTTCTTATAGTATACACAAAAATAAATTCAAGGTGGAATGAAAGACCTAAGCGTGAGACAGGAAACCATCAAAATCCTGGGAAGAAAACACGCAGTGACCTCTTTGACCTCAGCAAGAGCAGTTTCTTACTAGACATATTGGTGGTAGAAAAGGAAACAAAAACAAAAATGAACTATTGGCACTTCATCAAGATAAAAGTCTTCTGTACAGCCAAGGAAATAACCAACAAAACTAAAAGGCAACCTACAGAATGGGAGAAGGTATTTGCAAATGCCATTTTCAGTAAAGAGATGGTCTCCAACATTTATAAAGAACTTATCAAACTCAACAACCACACCCAGGAAACAAATAACGCAGTTAAGAAATGGGCAGAGACATGAATAGGCATTTTTAAAAAATATTTTATTAATCTATTCATAAGAGACACTGACAGAGAGAGAGGGAGAGAGAGAGAGAGAGAAGCAGAGGGAGAAGCAGGCTCCATGCAGGGAACCTGATGTGGGACTCGATCCCTGATCTCCTGGATCAGGCCCTGGGCTGAAGGTGGTGCTAAAGCACTGAGCCAGCCAGGCTGCCCTGAATAGTTATTTTTCCAAGGAAGACATCCAGGTGGCTAACAGACACTTGCAAAGATGTTCATCATCATTCATCATCAGGGGAATGCAAATCAAAACCGCAATGAGGTATCACCTCACCTCTTGCAAAATGGCTCAAATTAAAGCCACAGGAAACCAGTGTGGAGGTTTCTCAAAAAGGTAAAAGTAGAACTAGCTTATGATCTAGGATTTGCACTACAAGGTATTTACCCAAAGATTATAAAAATACTCATTCAAAAGGGCATATGCTCCTGGTCGTTTACAGCAGCATTGTCTACAATAGCCAAATTGTGGAAACAGCCCAAGTGTCCATCAGCTGAAGAATGGCTAAAGAAGAAATGATATATTTATACAATGAATATTACTAAGCCATAAAAAAGAATGAAATCTTGGGGTGCCTGGATGACTCAGTTGGTTAAGCATCCAACTCTTGGTCTTGGCTCTGGTTATGATCTTGTGGTCTTGGGATCCTGCCCTGAGTGGAGCTCTGCAATCAGTATGGAGTCTGCTTCATTTTCTCTCTCCCTCTCAAATAAATTAAAAAAAAAAAATCTTAGAAAAAAAAGGATGAAGTCTTGAGGTTTGCAGTGACGCAGATGGAGCTAGAGAATACTATGATGTTAATCAAAATAAGTCAGAGAAAATCGAGTACCATATGATTTCACTCGTATGTGGAATTTAATGAACCAACCAAACAAGCAAAATACAAAAAGAGAGAGAGAAACCAAGAAATAGATTTTAACTGTAGGGAAAAAAACTGATGGTTATCAGAGGGGAGGTGAATGTGGGGGATGGGTAACACTGGTGATGGGGATTAAGAAGTGAACTCATGATGAGCACTGACTGATGTATGGAAGTGTTGAATCACTATACTGTACACCTGAAAGTAATATAACACTCTGTTAACTATCCTGGAATGAAAATTAAAACGTGGTAGAAAACTAAGAGTAAATAAAGAAGTAAAAAAACTCATAACAAGCAACTTCTACTACAAGCAAGTAGAAGAAATGAGAATAATGGAATGTGAATTTACTATGCAATCTTCTGAAAGGAGTTTTGCATAGTTAGAAAAAAGGCTTAAAAGTATTTGTAGTTTGCTAACAGACACATATATGATACAAACATGTGTTGATGCAAATATATATATTTGCATATATATATGTTGATCATATGTAAATATGAGAGACAAAGTGTAAGACTCATTTCTCACATCACAGTAGAACATTCACAACCAATTTGTTAACCTAAGCCACTATGAAAATAAACCATGTATTTATTTATTCTTGAATTCTGCAAAAGTAACATGCAAATGTAAACTATTGAGCCCCCCCCCCCATCAATTAAGCAATGGAAACACCTTTCCCGGTGTACTCAGTGTAATTTCTACAATTTAGCAAGTTATTCCCTTGATCCTAGATTTTCCAAGAAAACTGTGAGTTTTGGGGGGGATGGATTGTTTTGACCATTGAAATTAGTTAAAATTTACAGCTTAATAATATTTATGTAATAAATAATATTTGCAAGTAACAGCTGGAATATTTTCCACAAGTATGGAAATAGATACGTGCACTCTTAATTGTGGCGCATTACGTCTTTAGGGCAGTAACAGTTTTTTTTTTTTTTTTTTTTAATGTGAACTTGTTAACGTGTGTGTGTTTAGACCTCTAAAACAGGATTTATAAGCCCTGGTGAAAGAATATGTAATCATTAGAAGCTTCATACTATAGATTCCTGAGTCTAACGTAGCCATTGTACCTCAGAGCCTTCTAATTGGCTATGGATGAAGGAATTATGAGGGAGTTATTCACAGTCATAAAACATTATTAAACCTAAACCACTGTCAAATTAAACATGCATTTGTTTATTCTGAAATGCTGCAAAAGTGACAGATGCAAATGTAAACAATTATTTAAGCTCCCCTGTCAATTAACCAATGGAAACACTTTTCCTTAGAATACTCAGTCTAATTTCTACAATTCAGCAAGTTATTCCCTTGATCCTCAATTTTTCAAGAAAACTCTGACGTTTTCTTGGAAATTATGGAAAAAATCTTTCAGGTAATATGTAAACACTTTAGTTCTTTTTTAAAAAAAGATTTTATTTATTCATGAGAGACAGAGAGCGAGGCAGAGACACAGGATTAGGGTGAAGCAGGCTCCATGCAGGGAGCCTGATGTGGGACTCTGTCCCGGGACCCCAGGATCACACCATGAGCCAAAGGCAGACGCTTAACCGCTGAGCCACCAGGCATCCCAACACTTTAATTCTTAACTAAGGAAACTGAAGAAACAACTGGACATAATATCCTCAATACTATAGACAGTTGTACTAGAAATATATGACTCCCCAGTTGACATGCCTGCTTTCATCAAGATAGTGAAATTTCTAATGCCGTTTTTTTAGGATGGAAAAAAGTAGAGTAAAATGGATATATAGAAAATAAGTACAGCAGAGAGGAATTGAAAGCAGCGACACTACTCTGATATAATAGTGGTAGATGCGTATCGTTATAAATTTTTAGAACTCATAAAATGTACCAAGCTGAGAGTAAACTCTTACGTAAACTATGAACTTTGGATGATAATAATGTGTCAGTGTAGGTTCATGAGTTGCCACAAATGTACCACTTTGATGGGGGATGTTGATAATGGAGAAACTTATGCCTGTGTGGGGGTGAGCGTTATTTAGGGAATAGTGATTCAAAATGCTGTGACTTAAAATTCTTCTAAAAAAGTAAAGCATAGCATAAGTAATATTTTCAGTGTGTATTTCATAAACAAGGAAGGATAAAATACTTTACCGAGAAAAAATTAAAAAGCAAACCACAGAAACCCCTTTTTAAAGATATTACAAACAAACACATGGAATGGATATGTCATTGGTTCAAGAATTCCTCAGTGCTCTAATGTCGTTATTGACTCCCTAGAGTGTGATGTACCCATAACGGACAGTGGGATTCTAACTGGCCCTGTCATATATAAGTCTTTGCATGTGTTTGGAGATTGGGAGATCATTTTATACTTTCATGTCATCATTTCACTTCTAAAAGACAAATTTCCTCCCCCTTAGTACTTATACAAACTCTCTCCCTAGCACTAGGAGAGTTAAGACTTCATGTTACTAATGAAAACCATGACTTACCTAGGACTTCGCTGTAAAACTGATTCCAACTCTTCTCATTTATTGTTTGGAACCAAAAGTCAAAATAAAGCACATATAGCATATTTTTTACTCTCTCCATGAATGTCATTTGATCAGTTAATTCTGACAGAATAACAGGTACGTAGGATGGAGGGAGCGGAAGTCCTCCAATGTGTTTTTCAAATGCGTAGCCTGGAGAGAAACGGAGACTGTACACTAAAGGTATTTTAAGGAGCTCAGCCAGCAGCTCACCGCAGGGTCCCACAGCGTCTGCAAGAATGACATCGAACTTTGATTCTTGTAGTTTTGTCATGAGTTTCTTGTTCAAAACTACATCTTTACAGAGCTTCTCAGCACACTCATAAAATTCCCAAAAAATTTCTTGCATTACTGAAAAATACGCCCAAAATGAATCTTTTGGCATATCATATATCCAAATGTTGAGCAGTTTTATGAACAAAGCCTCAAAATCACCTCTAGATAAATGTGCAGAATAGATCTCAAATTTAATAGCAGATAATTTGTTCGGATCAACAAGAATGGAAGCTGAAGATGTCAGAACAGTCACTTCATGACCCCTCTGGACAAGTTCATCCAGGATTGTCTTTACATTGATCCAATGGCTGTATTCTGTGGGCCACACCAGCACCTTTCCGCAACTCCCAGAGCTAAAGTAACAGCTCAGCTGGAGCAGCAGCAGAACTGAAATCCATTTCATAGACATCCTGGTGGAATGTGCTGCTTCTTCTGAAATTCTTGCCTTCTTCTACCATTGCTTGCACTTATATCCGAGGAGCAATCAATCAGGAAGTTAAAATATAACTCCTACCTTCCAAAGTAAATACATTATAGGAACTGTCCGAGCGTTTGGACGGCAAGTGGAAAAAGCCAAAGTAGATGACTTCATTTGTATGCAAATGTGTGTAATGTCTGTTTGACGATTATAAGTCCTATCATGTAGCTAAGAGTCAATGTGCAAGTCATCTGTCTTACGTAATATATTTTGGAAGAGTGTCGAGGACGGTGGTGAGAGGTGACTGCAGTCCTCTTGACACAAGAATGAATAATCTATACAGGTAAATTATCTTTCTGGTTATGATGACTCAGGAGATGTTTTTGTTTTGTTCATGAAACTTTGGTTGACATGTACTTCCATACCGCACAAGTGCCAGATTTAAAGTGTACAGTTCAGTGGTTCATAGTGTGTTCACAGAATTGTGCAACCGCTCTGGTGATCAATTTTAGAGCACTTTCATCACCCCAAATGGAAACCTTTGCTCTGTAATGGAACTCTTCATTTTCTGCATTTCCCAGCCTTAGTCAACATTTTGTCTACTTTTTTTGTCATATATATTGCCTGTTTTGAGCATTTCGTATAAATGAAGTGTCTCTTGTGACTGTTTATTTTAATTAGCATACTGTTTTATTTAAAGAAATTTTTTGACTTTATTGAGACATCCTTGATATAAAATTATGCAGTGATAAGGTGTACAACATGATGACTTGAATCGCTTATATATTGTGAAGAGATTACACCATTCTCATCCATCACCTCACACACTTATCTTTCTTTCTGGTGAGAACTTTATAAAAATCATTTTTATTACTTTTTTATTGAAGTACAGTTGACACACAATGTTACGTTAGTTTCAGGTTACAACATAGTGATTCAGCAAGTCTGTCTGCTACGGTGTGCTCACAAGCGTAAATTCCATTTGTCATTACCCAATGCCACAACAATTACTGACTATATTCCCTGCGTTTTATGTTTTATTCTCCTGACATTTATTCCATTTATTTCATACCTGGAAGCCCGTATCTCCCACTCCCTTTCACTCATTTTGCCTTCCCTCTCCCCCTTTTTTCTAGAAGCTATCATTTCTCTATATTTGTGAGTCTTTCCGCTCTGTTTATTCATTTGGTTTAGATTCCACATATAAGTGAAATCACATGACATTTGTCTTTCTCCTTCTGACATATTTTACTTAGCGTAACACCCTCTCAGTTTGTCCATGTTATCACCAATGGCAAGGTATCATTCTTTGCTTGTGGTGGAATAATATTGCATTGTCTCTATATAGTACGTCATCTTTTTCCACTCATCTATTGATGGACACTTGGATTATTTCCATTAGCTGGCTATTTCAAATAATGCTGCAGTAAACATAGGGTGTGTATATCTTTTTGAATTAGTGTTTCATTTTCTTTGGGTAAATACCCAGTCGTGGAATTACTGGAGCATATGGTATTTCTATTTTTAGTTTCTTGAGAAACCTCCGTACTATTTTCTATAGTGGCTGCACCACCAACAGTAGACAAGGCTTGCTTTTCCTCCATTTTGCCAATACTTGTATTTCTTGTCTTTTTGATTCTAGCCATTCTGACACGTGTAAGATGATATCTCCTTGTGGTTTTGATGTGTATTACCCTGATGATTAGTGACGTTGAGCATATTTTCATGTATCTGTAGGCCATCTATTTGTCATCATTATCTTCTCCTCCTCCTCTTCTTCTTCTTCTTCTTCTCTCTTCTTCTTCTTCTTCTTCTTCAGAAGGCTCCATGCTCAAAGTGGTGGTTGAACTCATGACCCTGAGATCAAGAGTCATATACTTTACCAATTGAGCCAGGCAAGTGCCCCTTCATTGCTGGTCTTCTTTGGAAAAAGTCTATTCAGGTTGTCTGCCCATATTTTAATTGGATTATTTCACTTTTTTGGTGTTGGATTGTATATGTTCTTCATATATTTTGGATATTAATCTCCTACTGGGTATGCCATTTTTGAGTATCTTCTCCTCTTCTGTAAGTTGCCTTTTGGTTTTGTTGATGGTTTCCTACATTGTGCAAAAACTTACTTTGGTGTAGTCCCAATGGTTTATTTTAGTTTTGGTTTCCCTTGCCTGAGGAGGGATATCTAGAAAATGTTGCTGCAAACAATGTCAAGGAGATTGCTGCCTATGTTTTTTTCTAACTTTTTGATTTCATGCCTCACATCTGGTCTTTAATCCATTTTGAGCTTATTTTTGCATATGGTGCAAGAAAGTGGTTCAGTTTTATTCTTTGATGTGTAGTGGTCCAGCTTTTCCAGCACCATCAATTGAAGGGGCTGTCTGTCCCCCATCATATAGTCCTACCTCTTTTGTCCTAGATTAATTGGCCATAGAAGTGTGGGTTTATGTCTGGGCTCTCTTCTGTTCCACTTCTCAGTATATTTGTTTTTGTGTCAGCACCGCACTGTTTTGGTTACTATAGCTTTGTAGTGTATCTTAAAATGTGAGATTGTGATGCCTCCAGCTTTGTTCTTCCTTCCTGAGATTGTTTTGGCTATTTGGGGTCATTTTTGATTCCATACAGGTTTTAGTATTATTTGTTTTGATAATGTGAAAAATGCTGCTGGTATTTTGATAGAGATTGTTTTTTTTTTATTGGCAAATTGAAAATGCAGTCACCTTTCATGTTCTTGGCTTGAAATACTTAGAATTACATCTTGTCTCATTCATTGAACTGAAATTTACTGAACATTTTCAATGTTTAACACTGTTGTGGCCTTGTTTTTAGGAATATGGAGGGGAACTTGGAAAGAAAAGAAATCAAAAAGGCAATACATACTGAAAGAAAATATTTGCAAAAGATTCATTTGAAAAAGAACTTGCATCCGAAATAAAGAAATTCTTATAACTGAAAAGTAAGAGAATCCCATAAAGATACATATTCCATCAAGAAAAGTTAAAGATGAAGAAGACATAAAAAACGCTGAAAATCATTACTAGGGATGGGCAAGTTAAAAAGCACAGTAAGATATCACACTTGGGTATTGGGCAGTATGGGCATTTTAACAATTTACTCCTAGTTTGTGAGCATAGTCTATTTTTCCATCTGATTGTGTCATTTTAAATGACTTTCATCAATGTTTCATAGTTTTTTTTAAAGATTTTATTTATTTATTCATGAGAGAGAGAGAGTCAGAGACCCAGGCAGAGGCAGAAGCAGGCTCCATGCAGGGAGCCCGACGTGGGATTCGATCCGAGGACTTCAGGATCAAGCCCTGAGCCAAAGGCAGTTGCCAAACCACTGAGCCACCCAGGGATCCCTGTTTCATAGTTTTGAGTAGATATTTCAGCTCTTTATTGATTTATCCAAGGTTTTTTTTTTTTTTTTCTTTTTCTGGGAAACTCTTTTATCTCTCTTTCCATTCTGAATGATCTCCTGTCCAGGTAAAGTATTTTGGATTGTAGGCTTCTTCCTTTCAGCACTGTGAATATGCCATGTGTTCCATGAGAGGGAGGTATATGCAAAATGACTTCCAAAGGCTGGAAGTGCTGTAAGACAGAATAAAAAGGCTGACAAGTCCAGCTTGAAGACAAATGGTTTACTAAAGGGACTTAGGGACAGAAGCATTTCTTGGGTGGCTCCAAGTAGATCTTTGTAAACTCACCTCCTGTTAGACCTACATTTATAGCTCTAGTGGCTGAGGAGTATATGCTGATAGACCACTGAGGAGGAGATGTTTGAGTTATAGTCATATCGCTAATAAGATCAAGGACATTATGCCCCCAAGGGTTTGCTTTAGGGTTGGTGAAAGCCAAACCGTGACCAGCTAATATAGTTTACTTATTAAAATTCAGCTTGCTCAGCAAGACAGTTTCAAGATCTCACTTCGCTATGTCCAGCAATCCAAAGTTATGTCATAACCTTTGCCAGTCCCGACTACTTCCATGTGGTATAAAGTTTCTGAGTTCTGCAACCCAAGTACCAACAACTTAGGATGATCTTCGCTTGACTTCCTTCATCTCAAATCATAGTAAAACTCTGTCAAGGTGTGCTTCTCCCTCTTGTTATGTCAAATAAACCTAGCTTTGCTTGATCAACTTTTATTTTTTTTGTATGCTTTTGGAAGAGTTAGCAGTTTACTTGTGTATTCAAAGTTCTGCCCTCCTCACAGAAACCCTGGAATAAAGTGAAAGAGAATGTGAAACTAGGCTTCTTGCATTTGTATGTCACTCTGTGTCCAACATAGTTATTATTGAATTGACTCATATTTCCCTTTGGCGATTTTTTCGTGAAGTCTCTTTTGATATGTAGGCTTTCCAGATCGTGAAGGCTACATATGACAATACATCCTAATTATGAGATTACATACAATCACTTTGGGAAAAGAAGGAAAGTGCTCTCGTTAAATCATTTATATAGGCACACAAGGAGAAGCCCTCAATTTATTAACTACAACGTTTTCTGGTTTTTAAATTCCCACTGTCAACAGGCTCCCTAAATTGAAACTTTGTCTAAGATTTATCTATTGATCTCTTTTTCAGGTGTTATTGTATGAATTGACTGAACAAGACCAAGATTTACAAATAAATTCACCATTTCTTAAGTGTTTTTTTTCAAAGATTTTATTTATTCATGAGAGACACCGAGAGAAGCGGAGCTATAGCAGAGGGAAGCAGGCTTCCTGCAGGGAGCCTGATGCGAGACTCGATCCCAGGACCCCGGGATCACGACCTGAACCAAAGGCAGGCACTGAGTCACCATGTGCCTTTTCTTAATGTTTTATGTTATTTTTTATTTTTGTCTCATGCTCTCGCAATATCTGGCATGGTATATTAATCTTACCTCACATTAAGGAAATAACTTTTCACAACTTTGCGTACTTTGTTTCTTCCTATTTTTACTCAGAGTTCTAAAGAAATTGCAATGATGTGTATTAACGTTATTTTTGTATAAAATGTTTAAATCATGGATATAAATTTGATTCTATTTCTGATCCTGGCCCAGATATTTTGAGGGAACTAATGCCATGATTATAATGAATGTGACAAATTTTGCTCCTAAACTCTTTATGTTGAATGGATTTTACTCCTTGAGAGTGTGATTTAATGGATAAGACAT